AGTTTGTTCTTGAACTTGTGGACATGCAGTCATCACTGTCGCTGCCTGAAGAGCTGCGCACAAATGGACGATTAAGTTTTGGAGTGAYDYAAATGTTCACCAGTTCCCAAACCTTAAGAAAGTGGCTGTTACTGTGCTTAGTAATATATTATATAATAACAATAATAATCTACATGAACCCCGCTACTTGGTATCGGTATCGGTGAGTACCTAAACTGAAGTACTTGTACTTGTACTCAGTCTTGAAAAAACTGGTATCGGGATACCCCTACTGAAAATGGTTTTCTGAAGTCCTCCTGAGCCCATGTGGTAATATTCGTTACAGAATGATGTTAGTTTTCAAGGCTGAGAGATCAAAGGTCATGGGCATTCAATGTTGGTTTTCGGCCTTGCTTCTTTCTTACAGAGATTTGTCTAGATTATCTGAATCTTCTGATATTATGGACAGCAGAGGATGAAATCCTTGAATTTTTTGTAAATGTACGGTAAAAAATGTTGAACAATTTGTTCACRTAGGTGCTCAAAATGTTGAATCTCACCCAATCCTTGCTTCTGTAKGGCTGAGCCTTTCATGGATGCTCCTTTTATCCTCAGTCATAACACTCGTCTGTTTTCAATTAACCTGTGGAATGCTCCAAACAGGAGTTTTCTGAAAATTCCTCAACTTTCCCTGTCGTTTGTTGCCCCTGTGCCAGATTTTTTTAGAATGTGTTGCAACAATCAAATTCAAAATGAGTTAATATTTAGGAAAAAAAACAATTAAGTTTATCTGTTTAAACATTAAATATCTTRTCTTTGTAGTGTATTCAGTTGAATATAGGTTGAGAAGGATTTGCAAATCATCATATTCTATTCTTGTTTTACGTCCCAACCACACTGGAATTGGGGTGGTACTTGACCATTCAACACAATTTAAAAACTGGTGTGTTAGTTGGAGTCTGTGCTTTTGACAAAAACGGAAAGAGAGAGGACAATTTAACTCTGCAATGTGACTAAGATGTCCTGGTTTGTCCAAGGACTCCAAGCAGTTAAGGGTCCAGCGTGCTACATCTGAAGCCATACACACCTCTCATAACCCATGAGACAGATGGCATGCCAGCCCTAGTCAGCGGTGCACCTGCAGGTCTCACCTGAGAAGGTCTGCTCACAGAAGCGGCAGCTGTAGCGGAGCTCGGCTCCCTCGGCCGAGTGTGTCGGCAGGTGTCTCAGCAGCAGCGTCTGCGAGCCGAATGTCTGCGAGCACACGGAGCAGACGAAGCAGCTGAGGCCCGGCGGACGGTGCTGCAGACGGTGGGCGTCCCTCTCTTTAGCCGACTCAAACGTCTTGTTACACCGGCTGCAGGCGAAGCCCTCTCTGTCCAGGTGCGTCTGCCTGTGATTGGTCAGGCTGGACAAGTGCTGGAAAGCCCGGTCGCACTGAACGCACTGATAAACGGGGCGGGCTCGGTGTGAACGCTGGTGCGACAACAGCTCGCCCTCACTCTTAAACACCGTGCTACACTGGAAGCATGTGTGGGTCTTGACAGGGCAGGGGTCCGGGGGGTGGGGCTCTCCTTCAGCCTGAACCTTCAGGTTCACAGTACTGGGTGTTGAGGCCAATCCACAGGACCGGTTTGTGCGCAGGTGGCGAATTACCTGCAGGACAAGTTAGAGACGGTTAAGACGTTTTTATTAAATTGGACAAAAACTGGTGCAGGTAAACGAGCTCACCTGAGATCTGTAGATGAAACACTTGCCACACTGAGGACACCTGTGAGCCACACGCTGAGAACTGTGGGAAATGCTGAACACRGTGCCGGCTGGGACCTTGGCTGTAGACAGATAAAGTTTCAATGCACTGCTTCAGTCTCTGTGTGTCAGGGTTCCCACACATTGGTCAACATCAAATTCAAGGACCTTTCAAGGACTTTACAGTACCAATTTCCTCAAATTCAAGAACCACGTGCATAGCAATGGGTACCGAATTTGATACTTTTTGATGTAAAGACCGAATTCTGTCGGTACTACTGAGTATCTATTCACTTAACATCAAATTGTACCATGTTTCAGTACCTAAACGCATCATTGCGACCAGTTTGGCGTAAGATTGGYGAGTTTTCCATGCTTGTCCTGAACGCAGCATCACGCAAAAGCGTAATGACGATAGCAGCAGCCGCTGGTTCAGTCAGTAAACAGAGGCAGAGCTCGGTCTGAACGTAGCTGAAAGCCTCGCAGCTCCTGGAGTAAAACTCGACAAACAGGCCGCCTCTGAATTATCTGGTGGATTAATTATCTTGTGAACACGACGTTCGCTTGCTCAAAGTAAATAAAGTACCACCATTTTCTTTATTTCATCCACCATTAAACAGAGACCAGCAGAGGAAAACAACAGAGGAGCTTCCTGAAAGGCCGAACGCGTCCGACCTGAAAGAGCACAAAAGCGTTGGGCACGTTTTGGATGYTCAAAAYGTAGCTTGAATACATTTTATTTATTTTAACTCCATCCTCTTTTGTTTATTTGATTTAAACTTATTTGCCTTCCATGGACCTCCATCACATAATTTTTCTAGTGGGGAAATGACATCAATAGAAACACGTGGAGCTGGATAACAGTCTTGTTGTTTTCAACAGTTTTCACCTTAAAGAAAAAGTTACACAACTGGTGTTACAA